TCAGTTGTTCCATGTCCAGTTCTAACTGTTGCTTCCTGTCCCACATATAGGTTTCTCAGGAGACAGATAAGGTGATCAGGCACTCCCATTTCTTTAAGAACTTGCCATAGTTTGCTGTGGTCCACACAGTCAAAGGCTTTTGCATAGTCAATGAAGCAGAAGTAGATATTTTTCTGGAACTCTCTGGCTTTCTCCATAATCCAGCACAAGTTAGCAATTTGGTCTCTAGTTCCTCTGCCTCTTCGGAATCCAGCTTGTACTTCTGGGAGTTCTCGGTCCACATACTGCTGAAGCCTACCTTGCAGGATTTTGAGCATAACCTTGCTAGCGTGTGAAATGAGTGCAATTGTACGGTAGTTGGAGCATTCTTTGGCACTGCCTTTCTTTGGGATTGGGATGTAGACTGATGTTGGGATGTAGACTGATGTAAAAGACATGGCCAGTCTTAAAGGCCGATTAATTTAGGTACAGTATTAGTACAGGGACCAGGAGAGAAGATGTACATATGGAGAAATCAGTGTTTGTCAGTACAGTACTGCTAAATAATGGGTATCTCTATTTTTTTAAAAAAAGGTGCTTAAGCTTTGTGAAATAATCTTTCCAAAGCTGAGGTTTTTAAGTAAGCAAAACAGATAGGCCTGCACAACACTGCGAATAGCTATGAGGGTAGCTGTTCTAGGGAGTGTCTATTCAGGGACATTAAAATGCTGATCAGGGATTAATACTAAGAAAATGAGGAGCATTACAGTTTAGGACATAGCAAGCAATTTGATACTGTACTGCAGGTGCAATTGTATGCTATTAAAAGATGATACAGAGGTCACATTGCCTGCTGATGAATTATTCTCTAAATTTCCTTGTTAGGACATCTTTGGAGATGTGGGAAATGGCTTATTTTAGCAGTTATGCTATTTGGTTTCTTCCACTGCGTTTTAGTAACTGACATTAGCAAACCAGTCAGAAGTATCTGTTGAAGTATCTAAAGAAAATACTACTCTCAGTACAGATAATAAGTAAAGTAAACTTAATGGGAACCAATTTAATACGCACATTTGTATGAATTATCAAAAGGCTTGTACATGGTATTGGACTGTTTGTGTTTGTGGCCGTTGCAAAAGTTGTTAGGATATTAAGCTTGCAAAGGAAAGCAAACCACTTCAGACATCACTGTTACTGCCTTCAGCAAGCTACATTTATTTATTCTTCTTAAAAGAGCTCATTTTCATGATTTATAACCTCCCTAATACTTGCAAAATTCACAGCTTGTGGAAAATTGTGCTATATAAATATAGAAAGCTAATATAAAAAGGACATTGTATGTATTTATGAATATAAATAAAGCCAAGTTAACCTTTTTGTCAGAATCATCGAATAATGTCTTGTGTGGCTTTTTTTAAAAAACACTGCTATAAATCAGGCTTGATTGTAGCTTTCACAGCTAAGCAACAGGCATGGCATCAAAACTGAATTTTAAAAGTCCTTTCTTATTTTTTCTTGATTCCTCCCCCCCCCATAAAGCTGCTGGTTCCTACTGTCTCTTTTTTTGGGGGGGGGGAGTTGTATTTAATCTAGCTAGCATGGAATGAGTTAAAAATATTATCCAGGTTTGCAGAAAGAATATACTTAAATGCTTGAACAGCACTGCTTTTGATAGGTGGTCCTTTTTCTTGCAAAGATAGTATTTTTAGTGATACAGGTATTTTGTTTACAGGTAAAAACCTCTAAGTACAAATTTTATTGACCATGTGCAAAAGTGAGTCAGCATGCCCTTCACCTTCTGCTATCAAACATTTGTTCATTTATTAAATAACATTTCTAAAGATACCCCCTAGTGTATCTATTTATTATGTCTCAGCCTAACCCAGCCTAACTCTGTAGGAATGTTATGAGCATAAAATGTGTGTGCATGAGTGTGCATGCATACACGCATGCACATGCATATGTTTGTGCTGATGGGATCAGTGTATGTTCATACTGTAGGCCACCCTGAATGCCTTGGAGGAATGGTAGGTTGAAAATAGGAAGGAAGGAAACTAGGCATGTAACAGCAAATGCCTGTGATGATTTCTGAACTTGTAGCAATTCGCAACCACAGTTTGCACCAATTTTATTGTGCTCGTGTAAAAACCCAGCAGAGATTTGGCTCCCAAAAGGGATAATTTTATCTTAACATTTTCTTCACGGTACTACCTTCTCCTTAGACTGCAGTTTGAAAAATATTTGCAAAGGAGTAAGTTGCACCAAACATAGCTGGACTGACCTCTGAGCAGACATGCACAGTATTGTTCTGTTACTATATTAGGAAGCTGTGAATACCCTTCTGTACCACTATAGAAACCACAGAAGCCAAAATCTGAGTTTGCCCATTCTTTCCCCTGCTGTTCAGGCTGCAAGTAAACATAAACACAGCTATTGTGCATTCTGAGATCTCATTACCTCACATTCAAGTGTTCCTTTCCCAGTATCCTTACAGAGGATGGAGTATTTCTTTGAAGCTGTTGACACCAAACACAATAGAAGTCACAGCTGGTGTGAAAACTGCTTGCTGGTTTGTTATGACCTTGCAATTGTGAAGAAGTTATGTCTTTTGTAATGCTTTAACCACTGTTTTCTGTCCTTTTTCAGCACTGGCTTGAGCCCAACAAGCCTATCTCCAAGCAAATGAAATGTAAGTGTTGACATCTCATTTCATAATGTGTTATGCTATTTTAAAATGCCACAACCTTGTCTATAATGGTATGTTTCCATCCTCTTCACTCCATGAAAGATGAGTTCTTTACCCCATTTATTCCATTGCTTTTGATGGCGTCAGAGCATTTTATAAAGATTTTTTTCTCTAGGACCAGATGCCAAACTGTACATCAGAAGCGATTCAAACCAGGAGAAGCTAAAAGAACACAATGACCCCTTATTTTCATAGTTTCATTTTGGTATTCCCAATCTCCTAAAATGATTTTTTGAAAGATTCAGTCAAGTTTCTCAGGACAGAGGTACAAGACCTTTCGCCAAGTTTTTAGAGCACATTAGTGAAATACATTGTATTCTGGATTGGGCATTTTCAAACCAGTGTAAAATCATGGGGTAGTCATGTGAGTTTTGTGTCACTGTGTGCATCTCTGGGACAACTTTTAATCCAATGTTAAGATTAGTTTTAGATTGATAAGGAAACTAAAATTCCCTGTTTACCCCACACTGGCTGCCTCTCACACTGCTGCTGCTGCTGCGGTGTTATTTTTAAGTTTTATTTTTTTTCTTTCAAAGTGAGATAGTGCAAAGTCAGTATTACTGATGGAAAAATGAAACAGACATACACATAGATGCACTCCCCCCACTGCACATATTAATCATTTTTAAAAAGTTATCTTGAAGATATTTATGCCCCGCATTACCCTGCAACCTGAAGCCCATGATCCTGACATCAAATGTTAACAGACTCCACAGACTCAATTTACTACAACAAAGGTGTTCATATATGCTGAAACCATTCAAAATAAATTGATTTCACAAGTGAGTTAAAATAAACAAACCCCTGGCTGCTGATTAAAAAAAATCTGATTTACAACAACAAAAACAAAAGCACCCTGGCTGCTGATTAAAAAAGTCTGATTTACAACAACAAAAACAAAAGCACAAGCATCCTGCCACAATAAATCTGTGCTTGCTTGTGCATCATGTAGTCAGCACTTTTAAAATGAAGTTGAAACATGCAAAGCCTGATTCAAAAGCAGATTTGTTTGTTTTTTTAACATGTAACTGAGTGTGGTGTCCACCCTTGTGCCCCTTGCTTGACCTTCAAGCCCCAGAGCACACGAAGGCAAACACTCTCTTCTTTTACACTTGCTGCCACCAGGTGATCTCTAAATCACCATTTACAGTGCTTCAGAAAGATTTAGGTCCACACTTCAAGTTCTTTTAAATAAAACTTTGGTTTATTGATTACAGATATTCATAAATATCTTCAGTAGCTAATCACCTTAAATTTCCCAAACTACACACTCTATTACTCTGTCTGGCTTTTCTCTCCTGCCTGCATTTCTTTAACTGATTTAAACTCACTTAATCTGCTCTCTGACTCTCTGACTCTCTCATAGCATCTCTCTTGACTCTGTCTCCCAGCAACATGAATATTCATAAACCATTACATCATGCAACAAGAACCATAGATCCAATAAATGGAGAACACTACAGTGAGCTCTTAGAAAATTCTTCAGCCTTGTCTAGGCTGGAGCTATGCCCAATCCATTGGAGGGGTCATCTTCTGGAAACTCTGCACCTTCAAATATCAGACTTCTTCCCAAGCAGTTATATTTCTTTGTTGATAGTTAGTTAATTTTTTAAATAAAATGTTCAGCCTTGCCAAAATCTCAAATTGCCATGATGGAATAAAAACCGAAAAATACTCCATTCAGCCATAGTACTGAGTGGCTAGTCTCTGTTTTGTGTTAACATGTGTGGCATACTGTTTGATTAGCTAGGGTATATCTTTTATTAAATATCAGTCAAGGAATGAAAGAGATTACATTCAAATAATTAGAAAACAGAGGAAGTGTGTCCTGTTCTTCCAGCTTTCTACATTCAGTTTTGACACATTGCATCAAATCATGTTGAAGATGGAAGGGGGGCAGGAATGGGGAGTGTGTGGCCCTCCACATGTTGCTGAACTGCAGCTCCCATCATCCTTCACCCTTATTTAGCACATCCCTGTTTTATTATACATGGAGATAGTTGCATAGGTTCCAGCTTCCACCTACCTGCTAATAGGAAAAATAGGAACGTGACAATAATTTGAGGATTAGGAATAATGGCATGTGTGTGTGTGTGCGCACATGCCTGTCTCCACAGGTAAAAGAACAGGCTATGGACTCTGAGGAATCATATGGTTCTCCTTTGTACCCATATGTTTTATTTCCTGTGCAATTCTCCAAAGCACTGAACATCTGCTGTTCTAAAGGATGAACACTATCTAATTTTATTCAGACTTCCATAGTTTGTTTTGCTGGCTTTCTTCACATATGGATGGACTCCTTAATCTGTCAGTGTAACTTCTTAGTGATTTAAACTGATACCTAAGAAGAAGGTTCAGTTGGTAGTCCCTAAAGAGGTGACTTTAGACAGTGCAACCCACTGCTTTCTTTATTGATGTAAATTTCTATTACTTCCTTAATTTATGAAAAGGAAGGAAGTTTACGTATCTTTCAATATTGTGTGTGGTGGTGTTTTTGTTTGTTTGATTTAGTAGAAACACAACTGTTTCAGTAGCTAGCATTGTGTGGAATTACCTCTGAATAGTTACAGACAGGATGGTATTGAATCGTATGTTTTGCTGTTATGGGGAGTCTTGAATGCTTTCCACATTTTCTTTCTTCTGATTAAATAAACCCATATTTTTAATGCAAGATATGTGGATCACATTAGGAAATCAATGTGCATCACATCAAGTCTGACTTTGGAACAAAGCAAAGTAAGGCAGGACAGTTGACATTTCTTTGGTCCTGAACATACATTTTGCCAAGAATTCTGCAACTTGAGCAGCCTGTTGAAATTGGCAATGACCACTGTCATTTTCACTGTCTGTCCTTCCTCCAAAAGAAGTTACTGGATCTTGGAACCAGCAAAGGGGGAAGTGGCACTAGAGAGTGCTTCACCAATACCTCTTACTAATATCTTTTTGCAGGACTGCATACTGAATACTTGCCAAACAAAACAAAAGCAAAACAAAATGAAAAAAAAAACATTAAACCTAAGTGAGCATTCTTTGTACCTCTTACTAATATCTTTTTGCAGGGCTGCATACTGAATACTTGCCAAACAAAATAAAAGCAAAACAAAATGAAACAAAAACATTAAACCTAAGTGAGCATTCTTTCGAAATGCTCACTAAGGCTCAGACATTGTGTGGCATGCTTGCATTTCCTTAGTTTGGGGTTATTTTATATTCCAAACAATCCTCATAGATGGAACAGAAGTTTGAGGGAGACAGAATAATGTCCTGTAAAGAAACAGAATCGTTTATTCTGGTAGTCTTGCTTTCCCCTTTCATATTGTTTTGAAGTGTAGCTTTATCTTTAAAAAGCACACGGGCAAAATGGAATTGGATTTAGTTGTGCGCTGTGTCAATGTCCCTTCATATTCGGATGGCGTCTCAACTGAACCTGTAGTGAAACTGGCTGTCTAGTGTGTGTGGCATCTTTGCATGCTGGATTCTCTGTGGTTTGACAGTTTGCTTTTATCTCTCCTGTTCCTTTGTCTCCTGAATATTGTTGTGCATAAGCCAGTGAAGTATTAGCATGACTTTAAAGATCCTATACCAAGTGCAGTGCATGCCATATGAAATCCTTTTAAACAATTATGATTCCAGCAAAAGGGCTGTGCCTCAGATGACAGGGAAGCCTGACAAAGCCTTGGGTCCTCCAGTATACCAGATGGGCCTTATCTGACAGATTAAAAAAACATTTTGAAAGAAGGAGCTAGTGCCGCAATATATTTGATTATTTATGCTTCTTTTTAGATTAATTACTATTGCACACTTTAAATCTTTGTTGTGTGTGGAGGGGGCTCTTGTTTTCACTTGCAATTCTTTGAATGACTACAAGGTAATATGTCTGTTGCATGACACATGTGTGTGTAATTGACAGAGGAACATATTGGTGTTTTTTCCACGCATAACTAATAAATTTGTTTCTCATTTCACAATTTGTTACATTAAAAGATTGCAACACCATATTTCTGAGGTCCACTGGAAATAGCTTATTATGTTTCCGTGCTCAGATTCTTTATTAATTTTGGGGAGGAGGAGGAGAGAAAGTATGCTTGAGTGTATTTTTCGGTTACATACATTCTCTCAATGGCTGACTTCGTTGTTCACATTTTACAGCTAGAAAAGATTATTTTCATACACTCAATGTTGTAACTCCTTACGCAAATGGTGTGTGTGTGTGTGTGTGTGTTGTGTTGTAACTTCCTTACGCAAATGGAGTGTGTGTGTGTGTTACTGGTTTAACTCAGTTCATTTGCAATGATATAGCAATTAAGACTAGTCTCTCATCAACTCATGTATAAAGGGACAGAATGTAAGACAAAAATTTTGTTCTGAATCTTCTACCAATGTTTGAGATTTTATAAACGGCAACTTGGAGGAAGCATTAGTTGGGCTGAGGGAGTTTATGTCACCTTCCAAACAAGGGATGCCCCTTCAAGCCCTTAATAGTGATTGTGTGAACATGTGGGTAGAGTGGGAAATACTAAGACTTTTTAGTACACTATATATATTAATAAGCCAGCTTTCTGTAATATTTGTTGACTTTGAAATAGTTATCTCCCTTGACAGACTCTGACCTCAGTCCTAGACTTAATGATTTTTTGCTCTTGTGTAAGAAAATTAATATGAAATGGAGTGTGAATCCAAAGCCTTCCTGTTCTGTGCCAGATTGCCAACTTTTGGCTCTTTGGATTCTCATTTTGCAAGACCAGCAGTGGTAGACCATCCTGGTGCTGCTTTGAGGTTTCTGAGGTGGGTTTATCTCTAGAAATTAGCTTTTGGAGATAACATGCTTGCTTTTCTAAATGTTCCATTAATCATGATTACATTTTTCAATGAAAAACTGTCAACTGTTGAAGTTAATATGTAGCATGGGGAAGAGAGCCTCCAGTTTTGCAAAAAGACGTTTGTGTGTCCTTAGGAAGTTTTATTTACCAGGAAAACAGAGGTATTAAAATGTACAAAAGTGCACTTGATAAGATGCAACTCTGTGGTTTAGACTGGCCAGATTCTGAATTTTATGAAGAGCTGTTGGAAAAGCTTTCTGCAGTGTGAAAGAAGTCATCTTGATGTAGCTGTTCTTATGAGTTTTCTTTGATGTTTCAGCTCATCCACCATATACTATGTGCTTTAGAGTGAAATTCTACCCACATGAACCCCTAAAGATTAAAGAAGAGCTCACCAGGTATCTTTCCTTTTTCTTTACATTTAGTTCATGCCTTGGGATTGTGTCTACCTGGGTCCCCAAGACTGCTGTACTAAAGATGACAGTTTTGCTTACTTTAATTTACATGCATTTCCTAGGAATTTTTCTAAAAGCAGTTTCCGTATTTTAAAAAACATTGTTAAAAGTATTACAGGCGATTGCACTCTAAAAAAAGGTTAATGTAGAACTATAGGTCTGGGTTGTTTATCTTTTTTTAAATATGGCAGTAGGGTAATTTATACAGTACTGGTTTTGAAACCCTTGGAGGCTAATCTGAGGCCTGCTTATTCAGATGTAAATCCACTGTGATCAATAGGCTTTATGCATACAATTCAACCTTAAATCCCAGGGACTTATCTCTGGGTAAACATGATTGACTGCACTCTTAAGTCTCAAAATAGATCTGGAGTTGGATGGGATTGTTTGGAGGAAAGCCAGTGGTGGGGAGCTCCACTGTGAATGCAACAGCCCAAGGCACCAGATTTAAGTGCATCTCTATCACTAATTAGCATGCTAACTCGTTGCTTTTATTTTATTTTAACTTTTGGTTATTGAAATATTTCTATGTTACTTTACCATTCAACAGCCCTTAAGGCACTAATGTCATTCAAATAATCATTGTAAAATAATTAAAATAGAACCATAATTGAAATTCAGAAAAACAAACTCCAAAATCTAGAAATGGGCAATGGGATCAACTGTAAAATGAATAAACCTGCAAACGTTTGAATTCTATAAAACTCTTAATCGGGCTAATTGGTTAAAAAAAAGGGGGGGTAGACATGGAAGTCCAGATATATGGAGAGATGTTTCAAACCATGGATAACTAGAATGTGGAGCTTTGATGGGTGTGACAGTTGGGTAGATAACACATGATAAGCCCTCAGGGAGGGAGTGAAATGGAGCTTCCGCTTCTCTGCAAAGACAAAATAGCAACATGTTTTTGCAGTAACTATGGGTGAAACATATTTACGCTATAGCAGAAATAAAATTATTGCAGGAAAAAAAAACGGAGTTACCAAGAAAGAAAAGGTTTGATTTATTTATTTATCTGTAGTAAATAAAGTACTACATAATACCATAAAATTAGCTGTATATACCAATAAAAATGACAATCAAAAAACAAAACTCAAAAATGTTAAGGTCACAGTGCCACTTTTGCTTATATAGAAGTTGATTGAACTCTGTACCATGAATAAGATTGCCCTGTAAAATATTAAAACAGCAGCCATGTGAACAGTGCAGTGTAATGCGATTATTAATGAAAAGCAGCATTTTGGATGAGATGTGAGATAAACAGGTTTGTTCTGAACAAAATATGCTTTTCAATTAATGGTTCTTCATGTAATAAATAAAGCCCATTTCACTCTTCTGGAAAATCCATAAAATGAATGTGTGGAGAGGAAAAATAGTGGCAGCTGTCCCCACCCACAGACTCCACGTATTTACCCATTCTTTGTGAACAGAGCTCACAATGTACACATCTTGCATGTGCATCATTCTGTCAGTGCCAGTGGAGATTCTGGCATTTTGCAGGGTCCAAGTTGTGGCAAATAGAGCCTATGGCCTTTTGCATACATAAGCACACACTTGTTTGTTTTATTTCTATGCTGCCTTTCTCTTGGTGAAAAGACTCAAAGCATCTCACAAATACAAAAACAAGTTGGACTAAAAACACAGCAAATTATAAAGTTAAAAATAATTAAACATATTACAAGGATTTTAAATGATCATCTTAAACATTTAAAACCTCAAAAATACACTTGAAAGGCATGCAGGTACAGCATATAGGAGAGACTCAATCTAGGTACTACTGCCAAAAGGACAAGAGGGAGGAGGCTAAACTGTTCCATAACCTGGGAACAGCCACAGAAAAGACACTCTCTTGCATCCCTGTCAAGCGTACCTTCTCTTGGGCAATGGGACCAAGAGAAGGACCTCCTTGGAAGATCTTAACAAATAGCCTGTATCTAATCTGTATAGGGTTTTATAGATCATAAACAGCACTTTGAATTGGGTCCAGGAACAGACTGGTAGCCAACAAAGCAGTTATATGGAGAGTAATCCTGTATGATCTCTATAACTGGCCTCAGTCAGCACTCTGGCTACCTTGTTTTGAACCAGCTGAAATTTCCAAACCTTCTTCAAAAGCAGCCCCACGTAGAGCACATTACAGTAATCTAAGCAGGATGCAACTAAGGCATGTGTTACTGTAGCCAAATTGGACATCTCAAGTAATAGGCATAACTGGGACACCAGTTTTAATTATGCAAGTGCACTCCTAACCGCCTCTAACATCTGAGCATCCAGGCTCAGGGATCAACCCAACACTATGAATCTGAGTTTTCATGGAAAGTGTAACTCTATCCAGAACTGGTCCCTATACCTCTGTCTTGTCTGCATTAAGTTTGTCCTCATCCAACCCATTACTGGCATCAGAAACTGTTTTAGAACTGAGATAGCTTCCTTGAAATTGGATGAAAAGGAGAAATAGAGTTAAATATTATCTACATACTGATACTGCAAACTCCAGAACTTTGGAAACCTCTCTCAGTGGTTTCATATAAATACTAAATAGCATGGAGAACAGAACAGACCAACAGTTAAGGCATTGGACAGAAATCCTTCAGCAACACCTTCTGGACTTGCCCATCCAGGGAGGATTGGAACCATCATAAAACAATACTTCCAAGTCACATCCCAGAGATACAACCCCAAAGGATACCATGGTAAATGGTATCAAAGGCTGCTGAGAAGTCCAGCAAAACCAACCCTTTTGGCCATTAGATCCTAGGAATCTTTGAGCCAGATTTTCAGCTGCTGCCCTGATACCAGCATTGTCAGTAGCCAGGGCCTATCTCTCTCCACTGTGTGATCTGGATGTTGGTATTAAAAGCAGTAAGTAATATCAATGCTAAACACATTTAAAACCACAGAGCACAGCAATTCGTTTAAAAAACCCTCTCAGAATATCTGTCATGAAGGCTAAGCCTGCCTTTACCTGCATGCAGAAGGACAGCAAAGATGGGGGCAGCTTAGCTTCACATTGGAGGGAGTCCCACAGTCTGGGAGCAGCGACAGAGAAGGGCCCCTCTCTAGTAAGTAATATCAATACTAAACACATTTAAAACCAAAGAGCACAGCAATTCGTTTAAAAAACCCTCTCAGAATATCTGTCATGAAGGCTAAGCCTGCCTTTACCTGCATGCAGAAGGACAGCAAAGATGGGGGCAGCTTAGCTTCACATTGGAGGGAGTCCCACAGTCTGGGAGCAGCGACAGAGAAGGGCCCCTCTCTTGTATCTCCACCAAGTGCACCATACAAGTGCTTTTGCATTTGTCAGGACATCAGTCACATTCTCAGGCACCAAACGTGAGTGTGCATCCAGTTGTGCAACCAGGGCATGTCTGAATGCGATACAAAACCCAGCTAGACCAGGTACACTGCTTGCATGATTTTTAGTTTATCTGCATGGTACCAACAGGATTCTGGATAGGTTTTTTTAAAAATGCTGCCCAATTTCTGAGAGATTAGATGAGGGGTCCATAATTAAGAGGCAATTAAATAATATATAGTAAGTTTATTGTGTTCATATGACCCATTGCAATACACATCAGTTATGTATACACAATACAAAGATGAACACAAACAGTTTAAAAAAACAGAAGTTGTCAAATTTTCCAATTAGTAGGCAATTAAATATGGGTGAGGTGCAATATGATTTCAATTCCTTTCAAAGTAGACAAACTCTGTCTTTTTCCTTCTATAATGTCAAATCTGTATCTAAATATCATGAAACTGCAGGACCTATATTCTGCACAACAGCATTTTACTTGCCAAGTTTTAAAACACACAGAGATGATTTGAGACAGGCAGGAAATAAATGTCTGCCAAATTTATGTGAACTTGAAATTCTGGGTTAAGTGAGTTATCCAGGATGCATAACGGGCTAAATCCAGATGTCAGTCCCAGCTAGAATGCTTGGTGAATCAACATGTTAAGTTTCAACTCTAGTTCAGTTGAACAACTGGATTTAGGCTGTGGTGTTTTGTTTCCAAGTGACATGTTTCTAGGGATTTTAATGGTCCCTCTGAGAATTGATTTGCCAAGTTTTGAAAGAATTGGAAATAGAGTGCCATTCTTCTGGGCAAAAGAGTTCCCATGGAAACAAAAAAGCAGTTGGGGATCCTGCGTTCAGTAAGAGTTCAAGCCTTCATATTTTGCCACGGATTGTACAGGAAAGACAAAGCCAAGGGGAAGGGAATTATGTGGGTGGGGTGTTGTAGAAAAACACCAAGCAGATGATAAAAGCCTTTTGGACACAGAGGATGGACTACAGAAGATGGTGCACACGGAGGAGCACCCCTTGCTTTTTGAGACAGCTGGCTTTGTATTTCCTTCCTCATCGATTTTGTGGCAACACCATTCCATTTTGGTTACAAAACAGTGCAGTGCACTCTATCAAATATAATCAATTCTGAATGAAAATAAATATGAAAAAGAAATCAATGCAAAGCAGACTATTAAATTTAGTGTAAAATAATTCTGAATGAAAATGGAAGGGAGACAGAGGGAACACTTTAATTAAAAATCAATTAATTGGCCTTAATATGAATTAATATTTCTTAAATCCAAATACAATACAGTGGTGCCTCGATTTACAACCATAATCTGTTACAGAAGAAGGACGTAACTTGAAATGGTTGTAAGTCGAAGCACCATTTCCCATTGAAATGCATTGGAATGTGATTAATCTGTTCCAGAAGGAAAAAAATACCACCCAAAAATAAAATAAAAATAAAACACTGCAAGCCCCATAGGAACGCGCTGGGTCTGAAAAACAAACAAATCACTAAAAACAAAACAATAACACAGCATAGAAACATAATTCCATCACCCACCCAAACTCACCCTGCAAAACCCACCCAGAACAGTTTTTAAAAAGAAAAAGCAGCACCTTACCTTACCAGGCAGTCTCAAATCTCCTCCGATACACTCATTCTAACTGTTGGGGCGAAAGAGCTACAAAGAAGCAGCCACTTCGCCTACCAAGAGTTAGCAAATTTGAATTCCCTGCCTTTTCCCCCTGCCTTTTTCCAGTCGCAACTTGAAGCTCTGGCCGCAAGTTGTAGCAAAATTTTGTGGCCGGAGCTGGTCGTAACTCGAAATGGTCATAAGTTGGGACGTTGATAAGTCGAAGAACTACTGAGAAGGGATCTTTCACGGTCATTATTTCAGCTTAAGTAAGTTCACATCTTCAGTGTGCCTAGTGCTGCACCCCTAGTGCAGGGGTGGAACCATGGATATTGGGGAAGGGGACAGTAGGTGTAACCCTACGAATCATCCACACGTTTATAAATTTTAAAATGCTTCATAAACAGAAGCTTCTGCCATTAAAAGATATACTCTGCCATATGCCATTGCCATGGAAACTACTGCATAGTGGTCAGGCAGGCATCTGACATTTTGACTTCTTTCACCAAGATATGCTTCACCACGTTTTGCTACACAGGAGCACTTGCCTTACAGATGCAAACAAGCAGGCAATGTGGGGCAATTTCTTCCCCAGCACCTTTAACTAATGTATTTTTCTGACTCCAAGGTAAAAATGTAGCTTTCTGCTGAGATTCCTACATCTTACTTTTTGAAAATTGGCAACTGGATTGCGTATTGCTAACTGTTCCAATTATTTGTAAATGAAAACGTAGCAGCTTTTTAAAAGAAATACAGTAATCCAGTATTCCATCTTGACAGGAAGAATTATAAAGGATTTTTGTCAAGCGTAGCAGCTTTTTAAAAGAAATAATCCAGTATTCCATCTTGACAGGAAGAATTATAAAGGATTTTTGTCAAGGGCACTGCTATTTCATATCATTTCTTCAGGAGAGAAAAAAACAGAAACAAAAACCTTGATATCCTCAGGGAGAGTCAATGTCAAAAGCATGTTTGTTTATTTTGACAGCATACTGTGAATAGTAATTTCATAGAGCCAAACCTCTACAGATTGTAAAGATATTTTACTGAGCATTGAGGGTGTTGCTGCACATCTCAGAGGGGGACTGTAAAGTCAGAAAACACAGCAGAAGCATATGCGGCATATTAACCATTAATTCTTCTCTTGTTTAGAGAATTGAGGTTAGATAAGAATTCAGGGGGATTGATCACCACTTGAGGGTTGTTTCATATGCTTTCTTTTGCATTTGTGAATTAATGCAAGATTGCTGAAAAATGTGTGCTGGGTCATTTATGAATTACCCCAACATGGCAACTGGATTCCTGACTATTTTGTAGGTAATAGAGGCACTGTGTGCAAATTGGTGAAATTTGTGAAGCTTATAACAGTCTGCTAATTCTTATAACAGTCTGCTAATTCTTGTGTGTTTATATTTACTACATTTTACACTCTGAAAACAGTTCCAGAAGAGTTCCTATGACTCCGGAGCTCATGGTTGATTAGCCACTCCTGGCAGAAGATGGGACAAGCCTCTCTGCCAGGCCGAAGAGTGGTTGACCAATCAAGTGCTCTGGAGCAATAGGAAGGGAGTGTGGTGCTCACAACAACAGTGGACGGTGAGTGGACAGTCCAGCCCCAGGGGGCCAGACCCTCATTATGTCTACTATGCCCATGTCTAATGGGCAGTCAAAACATATTCAGCAAAGAACACCCATGTCCTTTAATCCAGGATGCCAACGTTTCAAGTTCAAATTGTATATGGAACTGGAGCATAGTTCTGGAAACCTATTTATGTTCTCAGTCAGAAATAGACTACCGTAAAGGATTATTTAACCAATACCTTTCTAATTGTGTTTCTGTAGCATTTTGCATTTGATCCCTTCATCCAGCCCTTCACAACATCACTTTATAGTGATGGGACATCTAACAGCATTCTTCTCTCTCCTTCTCTCCTTTCCCCTTGAAAGAGAACTATAACAAAATTAAAAAATTTAATGCATTTGTTTCAGCCTTTGCCAGAATGCAAATGCAGTTTTTGGGCCTTGTTCTTGAGTTTACTGCCATTCCCAGGGTGGTGTAAACTGATTTCTACAGCTAGGAAGTGTTATTGAAAGTTGTTGAATTTGGAGCTCAGTGGAGTGCCTCTTGAGAGTCCCCTGGACTGCAAGGAGAACAAACCTATCAATTTTAAAGGAAATCAACCCTGAGTGCTCACTGGAAGGACAGATCCTGAAGCTGAGGCTCCAGTACTTTGGCCATCTCATGAGAAGAAAAGACTCCTTGGAAAAAACCTTGATGTTAGGAAAGTGTGATGGCAAGAGGAGAAGGGGGTGACAGAGGATGAGATGGTTGGACAGTGTCTGCAAAGCTACCAACATGAATTTGACCCAACTCCGGGAGGCAGTGGAAGATAGGAGGGCCTGGCGTGCTCTGGTCCATGGGGTCACGAAGAGTCGGACATGACTAAACGAAAACAGAGTGCCTCAACATGATTATATTGCAGACTCATTTGGCAAATTGTCATTCTGGATTATGGATTTTTGAAACTGTTCACTACAATGGAAAAAATATCTTGACAAGCGCCAATATCATGTGAATATTTCAAAGGAATCTAATGAATAGTGACTGAACAGTTATTACAGTAGAAATATATGACAAAAAGACAATTACAAACAAAGCACAATACCTGCATTGTAATCTTTAGTATTGAAAATGTGAAAAACACCTTCTGAAACTCCTTTTGACTGTAAAAAATGATGAGTTTACAGACTAAGGCTCAGATATACATTCTGTTTTAGGCCTGAGAATAGGCATGTATGCATCAAGTGGCATTTTAAACTTATTTCCTTCAAGCCTGAAGCCACCTCTCTTGCTTTCCCCCACGTTTACAAAAACACTTTGTAATGTGGCAGGCAGGACTGGTATTTGAAAAGTACATTTCGAGAACTCACATTTGAAGAAGGAACAAATTGCATAGTCCACAATCAAAGGTTGTAAAACTTACAGAACTTAAGCTGATGCTAGATGGGATGGACAGTTGCATTACTTATATGTTCCTCTTGACTTGTTTGAAGACAGAAATATCACAGGAGGATGAATTTTTGAGATGAAAAGTGCTTTAGGAGAGAGGCTTCTTATTCTCTTCCTTTCCAGCTACTTCCTTCTCAAAAATCATCCTTTTCTCAAGCTGGATGCAGCTTCAGCAACCAGACCTCATTGGAGTGCAACTGCATGATTTGCCCCACTTATACAACATGAGAATCTGAAGTATCTTTACTGAGTGCATGATGCAAGGGCTAATTCAGATTGGTTCAGCACTTTTTGTTCTTGAAGAGGCTCCCCCCGCTGCCACTGGAGGCTTCTACTTTTCCAAGCTGGAACAATTCACACAAAAATTCTCCCATGTAATTAGTTGTGATATATTCTTGTAAAAATGGGGACATGTCTGTATATGGTGTTTCAGTGATGTGGGCAGTTAGGATGTGATGTTCAGTCCCAGGGGGTGGGATATGCAAAAGCAAAGCACTGTGATTTTAATGTAGGGCATTGGGTGCTAGTCCTGAATTCTGTCAGATCTTGTGGGAAGTCCCTTTTGTTGTGAAACAAAAGCTTAGTGCTGTTAATTACTTAATTGACATGTCTGAAAGTGTCATTAAAATCACATTTCCCTTCCTATCTGTTACTGTACTTTTTTTCCTTCAAGTAATACATGCAGGGATTATTTCATAATGGATGTTGTGGAATTATTATGTGTGAAATTCCCTGTTGTGGAATCATTATGTGTGAGATTATGCATTTTGCAAAGTCACTGTCAAACTCTTGATGTTTTATACTCTTAGATTGTGAAGTACTTTTGCATGCTATTTTTCTATGGACCAGTTTTTGAGAAATGTATTGGTTTGAAGCTTCAAATGAGAAAGTGGCTTCACAATAAAGAATAAAAGGCTCAGCAGAGGTGGGACCAGAGGAAGGACTGATCAGCAGAGGGGGGACCAGAGGAAGGAAGGATCAGCAGAGGTGGGACCAGAAGAAGGAAGGAAAGAAGGGTTGTGGGCTGGAATGTGACTTGCATCACATCCAATATGAATGGTGAACTCCTGAATCAATCTGTAGCCCCTGTGTGAGCACTAATCGTGATTTCAGATGTAATACAGGCTGTGAGTCAAATCCAAATTGTTCCAGTTTGGCTTTTTGGTGTAGTTACAACCTGAATTGCTGCAGCTGCTTCTGTGATTGCTCTTATTAATGAGGAAATTTGAACAGAACACTGACCTTGTTTAGAAGCAATGTGTTTACTATTCTGTTCTTTCTTTATTGGGGCATGGCCTAGTCAGTGGAGAGATCTTAATAATCACTTGTCTTCTTGCCAGTGATCTTTCTTTCTTTTTAAAAAATGAGACTAAATTATCTTTAATTCACTGTCTTTCAGGATCCTCTGTACTATCTACAGTGATTAAATGAGAATAAGTATATAATCAATAGAGAATTTAAGCCTTCTTTTTTCCTTATATAATGTAGGTACCTTTTATATCTACAAATCAAAAGAGATATTTACTTGTCTTCTTGCCAGTGGTCTTTCTTTCTTTTTTAAAAATGAGACTAAATTATCTTTAATTCACTGTCTTTCAGGATCCTCTGTACAATCTACAGTGATTAAATGAGAATAAGTATATAATCAATAGAGAATTTAAGCCTTCTTTTTTCCTTATATAATGTAGGTACCTTTTATATCTACAAATCAAAAGAGATATTTTCCATGGCCGTTTGCTGTGTGCATTTTCTGATGCTGCCTATCTAGGTGCATGCATTGTTCAAGGTAAGTGAAATTGGCAGCACCATGGGATTTTACTTTGGGCCGAAACATTCATTGTAATAGAAGTATTATGAACATGTTATAAAATCAGTTGGAATGAATCTATATGACTTTAGTGTCCTTGGAATCAGTGGGATTTAAACTAGCCATGACTAGCTTATCCTTTGATTTCAAGATCTGGGGAAATTTTGCATATAGGAGCTTGAAAAGTAACTTTTTCCGCTAATAAGCCTACTATGAATTCAATGGAAGCTGATAGTGACTCTGTTTTTCTGGCAGTGGTGTTGTTTATCCCAGACTTTATAGGAGCTATCCAAGGTGATGAACCCTAAGCCCAAAATAAGGTCAGAATGATGATTCTCCTTTAATGTTTGGCATAAAGTCCAACCTTGTCCAATATGAGTCACTAGCTCCACTGGGAGTGTGACTGAAATAATAGGTTTATGGCTTTTCTAGTCTTCTAGTCCTGTCTGGAAAATATGTATGAGCAAATAAACAGATGAAGTGGCAACACATTTCCAAAGTTCCAGTGAAACATTAGAGGCTGGAGGAGAGTGGTTTTATTGATTTGGTATTGAATTTGATTGTGTTTTATGGAGTCGTTATTGGAAGAGTCCAGACACTCATATCAAGATATGAACATGTATTTCATGTATACATATAGCTCTTTTCCCCCTTTATTCATAAAAGCAAGCAAACAAATCAGGAAGTGTTCTGTTAACTATAGTCTCCTGTTTCACCCAGAGCAGGACATTATGCTTAGCCTCACTTTGGAACAGTGTCAAAAAATGTAAGATCACTTGCTTCAGAGTCACTTATGATAGTTTCCCACTTCAGATAAAATGATTTATTTACTCTTTCACAAAACTGTGAAGGGACTGTCAAAAGACCATTCATATCTCAGAGTAGAAACAGAAATTATAGATACCCTATGATTACAATTGAAAGTCTATTTGTTTTTAAGAGTCCCCACATTTCCCTTGTTTTTGAGAAATTATATTTCAAAGGAATTCCATATTTAAGTCCCGAAGATCAATCACAAAGCAAAGGAAGTTGATTTGGAAATTATATGAGACAACAAAAGCCCTTTTGTGAGTTTACAGAACAGCCTTTCACAGGCTTTCAAAAGTTAAAGAATTCTCTTTTCTCATCACCAGCTTTCTGTAACATCTATTTCTGTTGTTAGCTTATTAAGCTTAGATATGATTATCTGAATACAATAATTAAAATCCACCAAATTAAAATTAAAATATGTTGGAAGTCACCTTGTGAGGTTTAATAAAACTGAAAGGCATAATATACCTCTGAAAACAAAACAACCCCCCCATGAAAAATCAGTTGAGGGTCAGTCAATAGAGCATGCTATGGCTCTTTATGTAGTCATGAACAAATAAAATTGCTTTCTTCTGTGGTTCGCTTCTTGGATACTGAATGTATCAAGCATTTTAATGTAATTATAAATTTATTTGAGAGCACTGATATTGTTTTCCCTTCAATGTTGCTACTTTCAGGATAATTAGAAAGCATAAAATCAGTGGAGATCATAAAATAACAGTAACAGACAAAACACAGCATAGCAGCACAAGCTTTAAAATGTTTACAGTGGAATAAAATGAGATCCAACCATTGGTTTAAAAGGCCCAGGAATGTAAAAGTCTTTGCCTGGAAGTGGAAAGCTATGGATCTAAATCTGGTGGCTTGTCTCAACCAAAAGAAGTTGATTGAATCAACTGCTGTATGGTGAGCAAACTTGTCTGGAAATCCTGTTGGTTCACAGTGAGTCTACTCTAGTGGGGACAACCAACTAGATTCAGGCCATGGGCTTCAGCATTAAGAGACAATCCCTGTTAAGAGCATTCTAAGTTCTCCCTCCAGTGTCTGCCCATTTAACCTCCAACGACAGGGACACCTGGAGAAGGAGCTTAATGCAATGCCATGTTCAGATGGAAGAACATAATCCTACAGATACCTGTATCTCAAGCTGTATAGGTTTCAAAGGGAAGCACTAGAACATTAATTATTATCACCAAAGAGAGTGGGAGTCAACAATGCCAAGAAATATCACCTACTGCCTTTGTGTCTCTTGCTACCTAATAATGGGAATGCACTGCAACTAAGGCTTGCTATGGTAGGCTTGGAAGTGTGGGCAGAAGCCAAGATGTTTTTCTTGCTACAATGGCAAGTGAGAGGAGGGTATTAGGCAGCTAGAAGATGCTCTGCTGGGCCTTTACATCCTAGCACCACAGGAGGAGGAAGCCACAGTGCTTAGTTGTGGACTGGAAGTGATTCTAAATGGACTGGAATTTCTGTCAGCACTTCAGTGGCAGAATGGCTGGTGAGTGCAACCCACAGGGCTTGGTATTTCTACGAGTTTGCCCCTAGACCAGAAGACTCAGCCATCACTGGGCTGGTAGCAGAACTAGGAACCATAAGCAGGAATCCAGCTAAAGATTTCCAGACTAGCTTATTAAGCTTAGATATGATTATCTGAATACAATAATTAAAATCCACCAAATTAAAATTAAAATATGTTGGAAGTCACCTTGTGAGGTTTAATAAAACTGAAAGGCATAATATACCTCTGAAAACAAAACAACCCCCCCATGAAAAATCAGTTGAGGGTCAGTCAATAGAGCATGCTATGGCTCTTTATGTAGTCATGAACAAATAAAATTGCTTTCTTCTGTGGTTCGCTTCTTGGATACTGAATGTATCAAGCATTTTAATGTAATTATAAATTTATTTGAGAGCACTGATATTGTTTTCCCTTCAATGTTGCTACTTTCAGGATAATTAGAAAGCATAAAATCAGTGGAGATCATAAAATAACAGTAACAGACAAAACACAGCATAGCAGCACAAGCTTTAAAATGTTTACAGTGGAATAAAATGAGATCCAACCATTGGTTTAAAAGGCCCAGGAATGTAAAAGTCTTTGCCTGGAAGTGGAAAGCTATGGATCTAAATCTGGTGGCTTGTCTCAACCAAAAGAAGTTGATTGAATCAACTGCTGTATGGTGAGCAAACTTGTCTGGAAATCCTGTTGGTTCACAGTGAGTCTACTCTAGTGGGGACAACCAACTAGATTCAGGCCATGGGCTTCAGCATTAAGAGACAATCCCTGTTAAGAACATTCTAAGTTCTCCCTCCAGTGTCTGCCCATTTAACCTCCAATGACAGGGACACCTGGAGAAGGAGCTTAATGCAATGCCATGTTCAGATGGAAGAACATAATCCTACAGATACCTGTATCTCAAGCTGTATAGGTTTCAAAGGGAAGCACTAGAACATTAATTATTATCACCAAAGAGAGTGGGAGTCAACAATGCCAAGAAATATCACCTACTGCCTTTGTGTCTCTTGCTACCTAATAATGGGAATGCACTGCAACTAAGGCTTGCTATTGTGGGCTTGGAGGTGTGGGAAGAGGCCAAGATGTTTTTCTTGCTATGGCAAGTGAGAAAGAGGGTATTAGGTAGCCAGAAGATGCTCTGCTGGGCCTCTACTTCCCAGCACCACAGGAGGAGGAAGCCACAGTGCTTCGTTGTGGACTGGAAGTGATTCTAAATGGACTGGAATTTCTGTCAGCCCTTCAGTGGCAGAATGGCTGGTGAGTGCAACCCACAGGGCTTGGTATTTCTACGAGTTTGCCCCTAGACCAGAAGACTCAGCCATCACTGGGCTGGTAGCAGAACTAGGAACCATAAGCAGGAATCCAGCTAAAGATTTCCAGACTTCTGGTTCACATCCACAAGATGGGGTTATTGTACTAACCTTTGTACATGAGGAGGAGAAGAGAGGAGTTAGTTGAGACTACAGCATATGAGAAAAGTATTACAGAATAGTATAGGAGAAAAGCATTGTATAAACATACAGTATAGGAGAATGTACATACAATTTTTTTAAAAAAATAAGCCGTCCTACTTTTAGGGGCTGAAGAGCATCTCTTCAAGATGCTCAGTCTTACTAGGAACACCAGCAGAGGCTCTGTGATATGTGAAAGGGATGCACAGCTAACAGCTGACAGCTGCATGAGTAAATATGGAAGACACCTGCACCTAAGAGTATAGTTATTTACCACCTTGAACTAATTACCTGTACCCAGACTGAGTGGGTAAACAGATACCGTAGTTACCCAAAAGGGGCATGGCAAAGTTTGGAGAAATACCGTAAACCTAATCTTACATGTATTGTTGCTGGGTCGCCATTTGTTAATACTGGGATACTGGGAACTTAGAGGTGTTTCTCCCAGCAAGAGAGTGTATGTTTATGGTAGTTCTGCACAGAATCCCATTTGTATATGAGCCATTCATTTATTTATTTCAAATATTTTTAGATTACCCCTTCACTCAATGAGTGCACAAGGCAATGCACAACCCTCTCCATAGACGTTTGTTTATTTTGAGTTATCTGTCATGATTTTCCTTGTGTTGGAATTGAAGGTGGTTTACAAGATAGAACAGGTACAGATAAAAACACATACAAAAATTATAATTCTAAAATACAGTTAGTCAAATTATAACACCAGAATACTATGAATTTCAATATTAGAATGTATGAAATATTTTTAACATATGAAAAACCTCATTTTTTTTTAAAAAAAAGAAAAACAGTTCATTTATTTTATCTTTTGTAACCTTGAATTATTTTATTAACAATTTGCTTGGTTCTCACCCCTCCTGGTCTTTGTATTTTTATCTATACAGCTGAGTTTGGTGACTATGATCCTGATGAACATGTGGACAATTATGTCAGTGACTTTAGGATTTTCCCCAAACAGTCCCAAAAACTGGAAAGAAAAATAGCTGAACTTCATAAAAATGAATTCAGGTAATTGAGATTGGTATTTAAATGATTTTTAAAACTGTTATTCTTTGGTTTCTTTGCTTTGAGGAAGTCAGATTTTTCCCTTAGACATATAACTTACACAAAATACAAATGCCTTTTGTCAAAGAGTCAATTGTTAAAATTAGATGTGCATGTCAATAGTTGAAAATTAAATGTAATATTTCAAAAAGCTGACAAACATATTTGGTATGTTGCTGTCCAGACTGGGCTTACAGAGACAGTATATTGAGGTGAGAACAAGTGGTCACAGACTTAAGTGCATTTAAGCTCACTGATCTGAATGGGCTGAAACACAACTAGTTCCATATTGTAAATTCCTAGCCTTTGTATTTACATTTCTGAAGTGGAAAATATTGTTAATTTTTTGGGGTCATTACTACATTTCTCTCTCTCTTTTCCTCTCTTACTTTGTATGTGTGTGTATTTGTGTTTTATGGGGGTGTGGGAGTGTGACTAAAATGTTCTGTTAGAGCTTTGAGTGATTTAGTGTAGACTGGCAAGAGTTCCTTACTTCCAGTTGTTTGATTTGAGCAATGACAACATAGCTTAAAAATGGCTTCACCTGATTTATGCTTCTGAAACAAAGGCTGAAAACCTTTTGGTGTACGTTTACAGTGCACAACATGGATGGCACTATCAGCTGGTGATGAAAATCTTTGATTTAATTAAACTTAAAACTTCCCTTTTGCCCTTGGGTGGCCTGAAGTGGGAGGGAGCCTTTCATATTGGAAAATCACCACTGGACTGATAGTAACAGACTTGATTTGGTAGTGGAACCACTGACAGCGATTTTGTAATACTGTATTAAAGATTCTCCTTTCCCAAGGCCTCCCACTATCCCAAGGCTCCAAGAGGCTTCTCAAGGGCAAAAAGGAACCTTACGGAGCCTCAGAAGCTGGAAGGCAAGGGGTAGGAAGTTTTAAATTCAAAGATTTACACTAACAGGATTTCAGCCAAAGAATGCTTGGAGTGACTTGAAGTGATGTCTATGCAAGAAGGCTGTGAGCTTATTTCTGTACTAGTGCTGAAAACAAGGCCCAAGGTTCAGAATGCACTTAGTGTAGGGTTGCAGATCATTGTTTGTCTTGTCCACACAAGTGAGGCCAAGCAATCACAACATTATTCAGTGAAGGATTTTATTAAGCACCCAACAAGAAAAAAGAATGAGAACTTTTTTGTGTGCAAAATAAGCAAGATTGCACAAGTAGCACATTAATGAAAATAAAGCTTCAACACAAATAGTTCAGATGGTACAGAATGATGATGGCCACTGCTGGTTACATGGCCTTTATAGGACTGAGAAACACTGGAAGGGGTGTTTGTATCTCTTTTAATAATCAGTGAGTCATCCTGTGTTTGCTCTTTCTGTGGGCATGCCTGTGCCTTGCTTTTCAAAAGGAAGGGGCACTAGTGTCTGAAGGACTGTATCTCTCCATTTGAGCCTTCCGGGCTCTTAGGATCTTGAGAGGAGGCCCTTCTCTTGGTCCCACTGCCATCACAGGCACATTTGGTGGGGACATGAGAGGGAGCCGTCTCCCACATTATGGAATACTCTCCCTCAGGAGGTGATGTTAGGTTAGGCCCTTCCTTTTTATCCTTCCATTGACAATTGAAGACTCAGCTTCAGGCAGGTTTTTAATAACTATGACTGAGTTCCTGGATGCTGGTGTTGTTGTTTTTTTGTTCCTTGTTCTGCTTTTAAGTTTAGCTTTAAAGTTCTAAATATCTTTAAGTACTTAATGGATTATAAATTATAATTTAGCTTAATTTTTTTAATATGCTGGTTCATATCTTGCTCTGTCTGGAGTCAAAGAATCTCTAATGGCTTAGAAATTCTTTGCTGAGGTTTGGTGGGGACATGAGAGGGCGCCGTCTCCCACGTCATGGAATACTCTCCCTCAGGAGGTGAGGTTAGGTTAGGCCCCTCCCTAGTACTTAATGGATTCTAAATTATAATTGTCTTTTTTTTAATATGTTAGTTCATATCTTGCTCTGTCTGGAGTCAAAGAATCTCTAATGGCTTAGAAATTCTTTGCTGAGGTATTCTGTCAAGTTGAGACAACCTTCATTGACAGAAACAAAGAAGCTAGCAAGTGTTTCTTTTACACCTACCTCAGAAGCATCTTGCTCTTTAATTCAAAATGTACGGTATGTCTTTTGTACTGTATGTGGCTGAGATTGCTTGATGTTAGGGTATTTCTTGGGGGGGGAGAAGAAACTAGATCTGATAAGCCTGATGTTTGTTCTTTCTAGTTTTACAATATAACAATAAACATTTATTTGTTGTTGTCATCTGTCGTCAAACCACTTTCAAGTTATGGTGACCCTGTCAATGAGCAATCGGTAAAATGTCCTGTTGTTAAAAGCCCTGCTCAGCTCTTATAAACACTAGCCTATAATTCATTTATGGAGTCAATCCATCTTTTTTAAACAAGATATGGCAAATATTGAAAATGAATATTATATCTACTGATAGAGAAAAGGTAAAAGCAAAATAGAAGTAAGATGTTTTGAAAAAGATGAAAACATGGTGGCACCTTAAAGATTAATTTATATATATTTTTAATGTGAGCTTTTGTGGACAAATCCATTTCACCAGACATCAAACAGACATCAAACATAAGATATGATGGAAAATAGAGATTTTTAAAGAAAAGAGGGTGATCACTTGAACTATTCTACTTTGAGGTTGTTACACTGCTTGTAATAATTTTCACTGTTTTTAAGGTGAAGTTATATTAGTTTATTGTACCCCATGACATTCTGTCTAGCATTATATTTTAGCATTATATTTAATAGACAGGTGCCTGTAAATACAGTTCTTTTTCTTAAAAAAAAAAGTATATGAGAGTGATCGCATCCCATGCCTTTCCTGTAGTAGTTTATATGTGGAAGTGTTCTTTTGACTTTTATCCTTTTTTCTTACAAAACTGAAACTGGAATAGAACTGGAAAACGATCTCTGCCTTTTTACTTTGCTCTGGGCAATAATGCCCCCTTGAGATCTTTGTCCACTGAATAACTAAAAATAATAGTTTTTAATCACGTTGCCCTAGAGGGGGAAGAGAAGCATGATATACTGTTAAGAAAGTCATTGATTTTTCAAAAATTAATGCTTGGCCTAGAGAAAGTCAGGGATTTATTTAAGCAGGGATAATTTGTGCAAACAAAAGAAGGGGCTGGTTTATACTGTAAATACAGTATCTGTAGGAAACACACCAGCATGGGTGTCCACACTACGTTTATTGCTAATTAGTGGATATTTCAGGTGAGTGACTGCATATAAACTCAGATCATGGTGAAATGATTTACGTAATTATTATCAGTATGCATTGGGTGAATCCTGAACTGCCTCATTCTGATTTGGAAAAACAGTGATTTATTTGAAGCAAAGCAAACATTCTCTATCCTGAAGAAAATTTTGTTGCTTCTGAAGGTTTGTAAGAGATTCAGGGGAACATGGAGACAAAGACAACACATCTGTAAAGTGTGATACATTTTCTCATAGGCTTTCCACATGAAGAAAATGTCAAGATAGGGAAGGGGAGAGAGTAAGTGGGTGAAATGCAAATAGGGGCATAGTTGTATGCTTAACACCTATAACTTACAGTCATAAAAGAACAGTATAGGTCTCCTCTTCAATCAGAGCTTTTATGGGATATAGATTTCTTAGTGATAGCATTTGCATATAAAGGTTTAGATTTGATGATGCAAGGTTTTAACTTGGACCATTGTCAAATCAGGCAAATGAAATGAACTGCTTTCTAAATTGTTCAATGGAATCTGAAATTAATCTTTTGACCATTGCACGGGAAGCAGTGGAAGATAGGAGGGCCTGGCATGCTCTGGTCCATGGGGTCACGAAGAGTCGGACACGACTAAACGATTAAACAACAACGACAGTTCTAAAAGCACATCTTTTAAGAGATAGACAGACTGGCTAAGCTACATTTTCCAGATGTTGTAAACACACACACACACACACACACACACACACACACACACACACACACACACACACACACACACACGACAGCTTCCATTCTAAGTAGAGATCTTCAGATAGATTGTTTATGATCCCTTAAGGTACTGTACTACCAGTGTGAATAAAACTGAGGAAGTTGAAGGAAGACTGGAAAGGAAACGAGAGCCAAAACAGATGGTATTTTAACCGCGAATATGCATTTAATGTGTCTTGATTTATTTTAAAAACAATACCTGTTGGAGAAGCAGTCTGAATTATGGCTTTTATACATAGAGAAAAGGTAACAGGTCGGTTTCTAATTGAAATATTAACTTCAAGCAAATTTGCAAAAAGAGGGGGGCTGCTAAAGGATAACTTTAATTCATGTTAAATACAATGGGAATACTCAGCATTAATTAATTTAGTAAAATACATGCTGATTTTATCATTAAATTATTAGTATGCTCTCATAAAAAAAACACACTCAAAATATGAATAAAGCTATTTTAAACTATAGTTTGGCCACCCAGATTGTGATAAGAAGAGTTTTTCAAAGCATGTTAGGAGGTAACAAATATATCTTTAAAGGATATTTTTAAACTGCATTATAATTCTGTTGTGTTTGAGTGATTTTGAAGAGAAGAATTAAATGGTAGTATGGACTCTGGATTAACTAAATTATATAATCTATATGTAAGTGTTGGATGTGTTCCTAGAGACATTTCGTGTTTGTTAAATGTTTTATTAAATGTAAAAAATAGGAGCAATGAAATAATACCTGAACAAAATTCTTGAGGCAGCAAGAACCCAATGTTGTATTAGTGATGAACCGTTCCAAACTTATGCAGGATGAAAGCAACATTGTATCTGCCAGTAATCAGTATGTGCGGTTTGGTTTTATTTCAAATGTGGAACATTTAATCTTTCAGAAGGAGTGTTATCTTAACGCACAAAGTAAAATGACTGTGTATGAAGATTAAGCTGAGCACCAAATGATCCCCTGCCAAGCTGGAATTAGA